AGCTGTTAGCTCCTTTTTCCAAAAGCTTCACACACCACCTCCAAACCTCCAGTTTCATAATTATAGAAGAGACATCAATTATAGGATCCTCTGCGAATAATCCAATCACTAGATGATGCTCCACAGCCAAAGAACAATTAAGTAAAAATAGGCAAAAGAAGGCCGGAGCCCTCAAAGTAAAAAAATATTTAGGTACAAGCACAAGAGACTAGTGTTTCGACACTTATTTCATGTCTTTGTCAGAGCAGAGATGTGTTTGCTATTGATCTTCAAATGTAGTCTCTAAATGCTACCTGAATCCTGCAAATTTACAGTCTAAAACTACAGCGACAAGAAAATTGCATGAACTTTCTTTACTGAACAAAGACCAGTCATCCTGACACGTCTAAATAAGATGAGTTGTCTTTTAGCCTCATTATTTGTCTAAATAAAAAAAGAATCAAACTAAATGTGATCAGCTTCAGTTCAGCAGGAATCTGCATGTTTTAAACGTGTTGAACCATTAATTAAAATGTTCAAACAGTTTGTGACTAAATCCAGCCAGAACAGGCCCACTTTGCTGCTCTGGTTTCACTGTTCTGATCACCAGCCAACTTATTCAATTAGCGTAAGCTTCACTATAAGCCCTGTGGACAGCAGGCATGGCGTACTACCACACACTCACAGTGTCCTGCATGAGGGACAGAAGTCCAACTGGATTCATCACCAAGTAACATAAAAGTATAAAACACAGTTTTGATTTTCACTCCTCTCAACACAAAACGCTAACAAACCCCAGGAGATTAGAGATAGCAGGAACAAAAATGTTGTTTCGACACAGGTCAGAACTCCATCGTCTGTGACAGAAAAGCCCGGTCCGTGGAGCAGGTAGCTGTTTGGGTTTGATGCAGCACTTCTGGCTCTGGCTCATTAAAACATTCTGGAGTTGCTCAGAGGCTGGAGTCTGGTTGTGTCTCTGCAGTCATGCGCCTAAGTGATGAAGCTTGGGAGTTATCCATGATAGCTGAATCCCTCAGCTTTAACTGAACCTGATTTAGCTTCTATTGTTAATTAATATGAATTCATTTTATTCATAGAGTCAAAGTCACTGACAAACTCTGTAACAAGTGGTCTACATCCCACAGGGCATTCATCTCACCAAAACAAAGGCAAATTGGTATAACATTAAAATATATCATTCACTTCATTTTTCAATACATTTGCTGTGGGCTAGTATAAATTAATGCCTCTTGAATGATTTTCTGTGGGAAAACGCTCTGGCCCTCCTGTTTCAGGGAGTAGAAGTTTGTTGAAGGACTTGGAGGTTGGAAAACAGCAGGATTAGAGTCTTACTTGTTTATATTCCTGATATTTGAACAGTTCACCTCTGAGTGGCTGACAGCAACGTGACTCTATCACTTACTCCGTTTTTTGTGTTTTATCTCAACACATTCTCACACCCGAAGAGGCCAAACCTGACGTTGGGTGGCCAAGAATTTTTCTTCCAGCGCGTTGGGAGCCCAGCACAAAAACTGAGTAAGTGATAGAGTCACGTCGCTGTCAGCCAATCAGAAGTGAGATGTTCAAATATCAGGCATAGGGAGCCTAGTCACTTCCGCACCATGGGTACCCGGAAGAACGAAAAAAATGAATGCAAGCCAGTGGGGCTAAAAACACTATTTTCTAATTCCGCTTGTTTTGTGCCATGGATTTCACACATGATGTCCGTGAATTTTTAAGACACATTTTGATACCAAGAACGCATTAATTTTCAAACTCTGGTCTGAAACCTGTCTCCTCTGGCCAGCTGACTTAGGTGACAGGCTTGCTAGTCCAGTGGTTAGATTGCTGGGCTGGACACCTTAACCACTGAACTAGCATAGTTAGCTGCGTCGCCAGCCGGATATGACGGGGCTTCAGCCCAGAATGTTTTCAGACTTTTTTTTCACTCATCAGCCAAAGGCTCGCTCGCTACTCTCTGTCACAGCGAGCTGGGCTTGCTACCATGACTCACACATCTCCTCTCCTAACGTTTTAATTCACCACTTCCACGGTGTGAATTTCCTGTTTAGGTGTAGAGACGAGCCTAACCCCTCCTCAGCGTAGCCAGGTTACAGGTACGGAAACCAGAAGAGGCCAAAATTCCTCAAACGCATTTCATCCTACTGGCTGACATGAATTAAAACTGAGATTCCAGCCATGATTGCTTTGATAACTTTAAAGACTGTGCTGATGACCCACGTGAATTGTGCAGTGGATTAAATACATCATTAAATTAGCTCAACATGAAAAGTAAAAATGTACTGGTAATATTGTGAATGACATGATGTTGCCCACTCATAGATGGAATTTAAATTATTTTACATGAACTAAAGATGGTTGATTGGGTAAAAAAAAACAATGAAGCATGTTAAACACAATAACCTGCAGTCCTTTTGTGATTTCTGTAATGCAGATTTAGATCTAATCAGATTTCTTTAGGTGGCTAATTGGGTTTTGTCCTGCCTGGTCCTTGTTTCCTGAGCTGCAGGAGTAATGGTACCAGGTGGGCTTGTGGATCGGCTCTCTGGTTTTTGAAGGGTGCATGTGAAGCTCCACACTTTTTACACCAAGATTGAGGATCACTGTAAAGTTCACCATTTTTAACAAATACTTTTATTCTGTTGCAAATGTAGATATGTATATTTCTGGCCACAAACCACTGAACAGGCATTTATATATACATATATATATATATATATATATATACAGAGAGAGAGAGAGAGAGAGAGAGAGAGAGAGAGAGAGAGAGAGAGAGAGAGAGAGAGAGAGAGGAGACTATGTATATTACATTGCTTAAATCGTATTTATATAAAACACTCTTGTTTTTTACTAAAGTGAGATGTCACTTGTGATCTGGGCAAAGCCCAGGTGTCTCTTAAAGGCTGGAGACGCCCCTGACCATAGTTAACACAGCAACTGACTGGCCTGTCAGAGCAGGCATGGGCTGGGGTTTCACAAAAATGAAATGAAATGAAATAAACAACTAACTCGATAAATGACATCTCTAGTGCCAACAATAATATTTTATCATATACTGGGCCTGCCTTTGCTTTGAAAGGCTTAAAATAGAATGATATGGAACCTTTAAAAGGTGCATAATGTACGAATGACATCCTGTAGGACATCCTCCGGACCAGAAGCTTAGATGTTGATAGAAGTCGAGTCATACACAGTAAGTTGATAAGTAGGGAAGCAGTAGCTCAGGAGGAAGAGCGGGTTGTTCAGTAATCTAAGGTTGCAGGTTCGATCCCAGCTGTAAACAGAGAATTCTGCTATTGTGTCCTTGGGCAAGACACTTAACCCACCCCAGGGCAGCTGTGGCTACATCTATGTGTGAATGGATGAATGATACACTGTAGTGTAAAGCCCTTTGAAGTCCCCTGTCACCGAAAGGCAAGCAGCTAAGTTATCATTTATCATAAGTGGATAAACATGTACCTTTTACTGTTATATATTGTTGTTGGTAACAGAAAACATAACTTGAAATATTTATAAAGCCAGCTATGTACTTCTACTTCCTCATTAGCATTGTTAGCCTCTAGCCTGCTTCATCTGTTAGTAGAGTAAAACAAAAGGATGCCATGGGTTTTTAGGGGTTCATGTATTAACTTCTGGGTTGCTCTTGTTTACTGGTTTTGGTTGTTTACACATCTCTGGAGCCTTTAGCCTGCCAATGTCAAATTACAAATGCCGGCGCTGCAGACTTGGCAACCTGGCCACCTCAAAATCTGGGTGTTGTGATTGATGAACACCTGAGCTTTAAAGATCATGTTGCCTCTGTTGCTCGTACATGCCGCTTTGCGCTGTATAACATACGAAAGATCACACCATACCTAACACAACATGCCACCCAGCTCCTGGTGCAATCTACTGTCATCTCCCGCCTCGATTACTGCAATGCCCTTCTAACTGGTCTTCCAGCCTGTACTGTGAGACCTCTTCAAATGGTCGCGAATGCAGCAGCGTGTCTGGTCTTCAATCAGCCAAAAAGAGCACACATCACCCCTCTGTTCATTGAGCTCCACTGGCTACCGCTAGCAGCATGCATCAAATTCTAATTGCTAACATTAGCATACAAAGTCCGAGACGGTACGGCTCCCATCTACCTGAATCCTCTTGCAAAGGCTTACGTCTCGGCCCGGCCGCTGCGGTCATCACAGGATCGTCGGCTAGCAGTGCCTACACCACGCTCAGGACAATCCAGACTCTTCTCATGCATCGTTGCCCAAATGTGGAATGACCTTCCATGCTCTACCAGAACTGCGGCTTCCTTTTCAATTTTCAAGAAACTCCTGAAGACCCTGCTCTTCAGAGAGCATCTTCTAAACTAGCACCCTCCCTGCACCCGTCCCCCCTCTCTACTGTCCACTCCTTGTTCCCTCCTCTCCATGATTGATGTCAAGTTGTTGTTGTTATTGTTGTTGTTAGCCTCAAGGGCAACATGCCGATTATCACTTGTAAGTCGCTTTGGACAAAAGCGTCTGCTAAATACATAAACATAAACATAACCTCACGGGCTCGCAGAGTGTAAGCATTCACTATGTCCTTCTATGGCCTTTTTAAAATGAAGAAAAACTGACAACACCCAGGACACTTGTTTTGATGTAACCTTCCTTCCAACGTGATTCAGATATAAGACTCTTGTGATAATTTCACGGTAAAATTCAGACATTTTGCTCCTATAAGTGTTCCAAATGTTGAAGGGTTTTGATGACATTTGAGATCGTTTAGCATATGTCTGAGTGTCAGACAGGTTCTGCTAAAGTAGCATCCTGATGCTACAGGTCTGGCAGTAATCAGGCCTGGGTCTGGCTGTTGGAGCTGAACTCAAACTTATAAATAATGTGTTAAATCACAGTTAATTTATGACTTAACGAAGGGGGCATTTACTTTTTCACATGGGGCCAGGTTTGTTAGGATAGCTATTTTTAGGTATTTTCCTGTAAACCAGATGTGTGCTACTGAATCAATAGACTCACCTCCTCAACCAGAGCCAGCATGCGTCGAGTGCTCTCCAGAGACTGCAGGGAGAAAGAACATTTTATCATTAAAGGGAAGCAGAGACAGGTGTACAGTACAGGATGTGTGGCAGCCATGACACCTCAGCACCTTGCTGTAGGACACCGAGTCTTTACAGATGCTGGAGTGGGAAACAGATCTGAACGTTGGAGTCAGACAAATTCATGTTAACTTGATCTGGTCTAAAATGTACCAAAAGCATGAACTATTTTTCTAAATGTTATTTCAAAGCTGTTCCTAACAAATCTGTGGTCTCTGGTTCTTGCCTGCTTCTACACCTCCCACTCCGTTCCCTCCATCCGTGGCTGCCGCTCAGCCTGCAATATCTCCTCATGAATGTTTAATGAGGCCATTTGAGCTTCTCTATTATTCTGCTGCTCTTCCTGAGCTCCTCTCAACTCATTAAAAAGGGCAAAGTTCTTCTTTATCCCAAAAATGAAGAAAAAAGAAGGGAGTCTTAATGAAAGAAAGACTTAAAGATCTAAATGCAGAAACAAGGAATGGTCACGTTAGAGGAGGCATCAGAGGTTCACTTGTGTGTCCTCACCAGAGCAGGTCATCTGGAAATGTCACATTATAATTGGTTCATCACAAAAGAATGTTTCCTTTATTCTGTAGAAAACATTTATCCTCAGGCTGCTGCTGTCTCTGAACTGGGATCTAAAGCAGGGATTTTTAGGATTTTCTCTCTGATCCAGAAACACCAACCAGAAACCACGTTTGTATTAACCCTCTGGAGACAGGCGCTGCAGATTTGCAACAGTTAAAACCTACCTACCTGGTTACTCCACATACGTATTTCATGAGCATTTTTAAACTCAGAAGTACCCCTGAAGGACTTAGTTGTTCGTCCTTTTATCAAAACTTATTTTGAGCCTGAGAGGGTTAAAAACAGTCTTAGACGGGGGTGTCATGTAGACCCAAAAGCTGGACGGTGTAGTCTTTATTTCTGTTAATCTAGATAAATTTAACACCAGGTCATGAGGTGTGATCTTTCCCGTACCTCATCAGCGATCTGGTCAGCACGTGTCTGCAGGTCAGCCAGCTCATTGCGCATGTCCGCTTCGTCTGCCATGATGACTGTTCGACTTCAGTAAGAAGGACTGAAAGAAAAACAAAGGAAGTTTAACACTGTTGTGGCCTGAAGGTTTTATTGTGCTGCCATTTAGATGTTTTTAAAGGATTTATTTCTAAAATGTTTAAAATAATCCTAATTTAGTGTACATACAGGTCAGGTCAGATTTACAGGTCGGAGATGTGATCAAGTATTTGCGGAGCAAGTCTAAGTCAAGTCTAAAGTATCAAGACTCTCCCTAGCCCTTTTTACAAAACAATGCTGTCAATTTTCTGCAACACCGTAGCGGAATCAGGGGCTCTTAGCTCGTTTATAAGTGGTCAGACCGTTAAGGTAATGTGGCACAATTGTGTCCTTTTTATAAGAGATTAGGCAATAGCAACATAAAGGGGGTATGGGGGCGGTCTCTGCAATGCCATGGACTTCCATTTATCTTGGACATAACTTGCATTTTATTGTAATTATTTATAACAAGCCGCTCCTAAAGGTATCGGTCCCCATCAGTCCCTGTGCAGTCTGATGATCTGAGCTTCAGCTATAACAGAGAGATGCCTCATGGAGTGCTCCAGTTCGCTGTCTCAGCTGCTTTTGTTCACAAAGCAAAACTTTTTGCCCGTGTTTACTTTCATTTTCAATATGTTTGCTGGCCGGAGCTTGGCATTAACTCCCCACATCATCATGACACCTCCCTCTAGCAGTTTATGTCAGGCCTTCACCGCAATATTACTACCAAGTGAGGCGGAATGAATGCTGCAAAATTTGCGCAACGCCAGGCCGACATGGCACATTTATAAGACGTATCATTATGGTAATATTACGCCAATTTGCCAGCATGGTGTGTCTTGTAAAAAGGGCTCCTGTCTCTCGCTGCTATAGGGTGTGCAGCAAGGCTCCGTCCTTGGTCCTCTCCTATTCTCTATACATCTCCTTCCAATGGGCAAAATTATGGAACATCATGGTCTCAATTGTCACATCTATGCTGACGATTGCCAGATCTATGTGGCATTGAATAACCAAAATGCAGGCTCTCATTTTTCCAACTGCTTGGCTGATGTGAAGGGCTCAAAACTAAACAAGTCAAAAACGGAGTCTATCCTTTTTGATTCCCTCAATCCCACTAGCTCTCTTTCTGTCTTGGTCCTTTCAAAACTTAATCCTAGGCAGTATGTGACCAGTCTTGGAGTAAAACTGGATACTGATCTCTCAATGGCCACTCAGATAAACTTGATGGTGCAATCATGTTTTTATCAGTTACGGCATCTAACACGTTTAAAATTGATCATAAAGCAGAGGCATTGTGTACTTTTTTTATACAAATCCTCACGACAGAGTCAGGTGAAGAGACCACGGTGTTCAGCAAAGCAACAAGATGAACCAGGAGGATCTGTTGATGAATATTGAACCAGAACAGACGGGATCTATTTTAGACTCAGGCTCATCAATCACACTCTGAAGATTTCATTCATGAAATAAATAAGTGCTTGTTGCTCAGCTGTTGGAGTGAAGGACATCCTGCTGCTGAGGTCTGGGATGAAGGTGGAGGAAACCCAAACTAACTCCTCTCTCCCTGCCTCCCTCCCTCACACACTCCTCACACTCACTCTTCTCACTCCCTCACTAACCCACTCACTCACTCCTCACATACACCGCTCTCACTCACTCACTCACTCACTCACTCACTCACTCACTCCTCACACACACCGCTCTCACTCACTCCCTCCCTCACTCCTCACACACTCACACATTCTTCTGTCCCAATGAACAATTAGGGTTTTAATTATGTAAATCATCCAACCTGTTCCAATCAGACCTCATTTGGGAGTCTAATGTTTCAGTTGCAGAAACGGCTGTAGCTGTATCTCTTTGCCGACATAAATGTAACCACCTATCTGTCTTCAGCTCGGGGATCATTAAAGCTTCATTGGATCTAATTGACTGCCGTAGAGAGTAGAAAAGTAACTGGGTTTGGGATTTTTGCCGGTCTGCTCTGGGAAGATAACACATTAAAAGAGGAGCAGGTCTGTGATGTGAAAAGGCTTTGCTCTAAGATGGATCTAAAACTCTTTAGGGTTTCAAGATTATGGTATTTGCAGGTAAACAAGACAAAAGCTGCTTTTAAACGCTGTTAAAAAACCCAAATATTAATTTGGATTCATCAGCCTGAACTCTAAGGTGAGGAGACAAGGCCACCTCAGAGGCTCAGCTGGATGCTCCATAATGTTCTATCGCACCTGTCTACATCTCTCCCCTCCATCCCTGTGAATTCGTCAAGACGAAGTTAACATAGGCTGAAATGAGAAGGAGGACAAAACTGCTTCTAAACGCTTCTCGTCTGCTTTCAGAGTTTGTGTGTTTCTGTCTCGTGTTGAGTCAGGAAAACATTTAAAATCATAAATTTTTCTGTTGCTGTAACCCAGAGCTTCAAAACACGAGGGCGACATTAGCGGGAAGGTTGTTCCCTCATCAGCAGCCCTGCAGGTGAGCTGAAGGGCAGCAGAACGCAATGGCAGAGAGAAACAAGGAGAGAAGAAAATAATACACAAGCTGAACAAACGTCTTCTAGAAGAAGAGACTAAAACAGACTTTGTCAAAACAAAAATACGCTCATTAAAAGTTCTGTGCTGTCATTGTGAGTTTCACACTACTGTGACAAAAATACCCTGGTTTATTCTGGTCACTGAAAGTCTCATCATGGCAAAAACCCAAGAATCATACCGGCTAGGTACAGCGATGCTGTGGTGCTGATAGAGATTCATGTTCCTAAAGTGCATCAAAAGCACAAACCTGATGTCATTTTAACAGTACGTACCACTAAAGCCTATGAACATCCAACCTTGAGCTAAAGAAATTCAGCATGAGCCTGTGCTGTGTTTCTTTAAAGGGATATTTAGCAAAATTGTCATACGTTTAAATCATTTTGTCGAGCCAGTATCTTCTAAAATGATCCTTTACTGGGTGTATCAAATGTCACACTTGCAACTTCAGAGTGCCGGTCCGGTCCCTGTTGGAGTTAGTAAAGTGGAGCTGACATACCAGTGCCCCAGTCTGCTTCCAGCATGTTTCCCACATGTTTTGTGAACACAACTGATTTGTTTAATTTAGAGATTAATTCAATTTAATTGAATTTATTCATGTAGCGCCAAATCATGACAAGAGTCGTCTCAAGGGACTTCATAAAGTAAACATGTAATCACTCTTGTAGAAACAAATGAAGGCCGGAGAGTTTCAGCTGTTAGATTAAGGTGTTAAAAAGACGAACGGCAAGCAAGGAGGAGAGTTTCACTTTTGGTTTTACTACTAGGGGGTGCTAAGAGAAAGCCAAAACTGCACAGAATCTAGGGATGAGCATTTTTGACGAATACGAGCATGAAATGAGTAAACCTCGTAAATATCTGTAATCGTGCTGAAGGAAAATCCTCATTGGGTAACTGACTGTCTTCACGCTCTGTGATTGGCCAGTCACATAGAGCGCCTGCCCCTCCCTACACACAAAACTCTCTAGCCGGCCGGGAGCGCAGTCCGTCCGGCTCATCCACGCACACACACACACACAGACAGTAACAGATCTTGCTGTGATTGCTTCACTGTTGCTCACGTTTCTTCAGTTTTCCCTAGGTTTTCTTCAGCTCGCCTCTTTTTCAGTTGAATATTTAAAGTTACTTTTTTCATAACTTACTGTACATGGTGCATTTGACAAGACAGAGCTGACGTGCTGCATTAACTCACTACCTCCGCTCCGGTCGGGTTTTTTATTTTTTAACTCCATCTCTCTCCCTCTCACCCTCTCTATCTCTCTCAGACACACACAGCTTAATCAACATTGTTTTGTTTAACTTTGTGTGGGGCAAAATGCCAAGAACGTTAAGAAAAAAATCAGTTTAATCAAATTAAAATAAAAAAATATATATAAAGTTATGTCTGGTTCTAGCATTTCATATTTCCTAGTTCCTACTGCATGACTTCAGATGTATTAATCCATGCACCTAAATATTGATGTTCTGATTTTATTGAAACACTTGTTCTGTAAAAGTTTCTTTACTATTATGATCAAAAATATTTATTCTCAATTCTGAGGCTGCTCTGTAAATAGTTTTCAAGTAAACAATACACATACAAACTTCTGATCATTCCATATCAATTTCAGACTTAAAATAATGTATTGATGTAAACCACACCCACTTCCGGTTAAACTACGCCCACTTCCGGATTATGCCACGCCCATTCCGAGTACAGATACAAATAATTTTGTTGGTTCAACAGATACAAATACAGATACAGATAGTGTTGTACTCGCTCATCCCTAATAGAATCACTTTAATGCCTGGTGCTTTATTTTAAACAACAATCAACATTCCTAAACAGAAAAAAGAAAATAGATTGATGCATAAACACAAGTGTGTGATGGACATTTCTTTAATCCTCATTATGATTTGCTTTGATCTGTTGTATTTTAGTGGTATCTGGGGTGATAAGTCGCAGTAGCCGCCCCAAAAGTTTAGAACAATCTATCTACCTGGGTGAAAAACTCCCCTACAGGGATTTTTAAATCTAATTTGAAGTCTGTTTTCTTTAGCTTTTGAGTGTTCTTAACTGTTTTAATATCTCTTATTGTCTATTTGTTGATTTTATAATTACTTACAGCAATTTTTTAACAACTTTTACTGCAGTTTACTTTGTCTTATTGTGTCCTTTCTTAGTCATTGTTCATCACTTTGGTCATTTCTGATTGTTGTGCTATACAAATAAAGGGATTTCTTTCTTTCTGCAGCAACTCCTGAGTAGAATTCTCTTCAAATTTCAGACAACAGCATCTTTTTGAAACTGTCAAGCAATAAGAATAATATCACTGATGTGTGTTTATTTGTGGACTTATGTGTCTGACTACAAAACTCCACAGAGTTTCACATTTTTAACTGATGAATCATAAATGGCTGTGGGAAAAAGTTCATGCTCATATAAGTAACCACCTGATATTCATTGGTTCTTGTCTTGGTCAACATGCTGTAAGTGTTGTTAATCTGGGATGTT